TAACAAATTCCGCTGCATGTTTTATCAAATAGAGCTAAATGCAATACCATGGGGCTAAATTCGTTACCCAAGTAAAATGAATGACATTTTTATTATTTCCAATAAGTATTCATAATTAATTAGGTGTATCAAATAATTCGTATCCACATATTATAATCATCATGTTTACTTACATGTATACCACTGTGGGAGTCGCCGTGGCTGAGCGGCTAGACGCTCGCATCGGATCAGAAGGTCGTAGGTTTGCTCACTGGCGGAGCCGGACTTTTTTTAGAATTGACCTTGGCTCCCAGGTCGACCCAGCCTTGAGTAGGTACCAGATGCAGTCCCGGGAAGTAAAGGCGGCCGGCGTGATGCTGACCACATCACCCATCTTGTGCGGATCGGTCTATAAAATATAGGTCTAGCCCCATATGCCCTATACGCCAATATATTACCAATTCCATCACTAATCTATGTTTGGCAGCAGTTGCAGCAGCTAGTGGTGCAATACGTCCGGTAATTGTACATTTGTTATACATAAACACGATGATGTTACAGCTGCTTGTCTGTCTGTCGCTCTAGTTCTGGTTGTCGTTCAATGTCAAAGTAAGTGAACCAGTTTGTTCAATCAAGAAAAAAGCTGTGTGGTTCACGGGGAGGTTTGGACTGTACCGCAGCTTTCACCGAGGCCACTGACAGGGGCGTTTTTCATAGAAGGACACAAGAAGAAGGGTACTGCCATCTTCTGAAAGAGTGAAGAAACGTCTATCATGTGAATTAAATAGTCAGTTCTGCTGGAACCAGTAGACCAAGATATTTACAGTCGTTATCAGTCGTTGCCGCCTGTGAACTCATTCATAGCGCCATGTTGTCTGATATTTGCACACGCTGCCTGCGTTCTTTTCCAACGGTGATCTGGGTACAACTCCTGAAAGTCACCATATCTAGTCGCCCGCATGATTTCGTAGCGGTTCCCACGGGCTGTCCTATGTTGTAGGGGTGTCATGTTTTCCTCGTTTTGGCCGCTTTGAGCCCATCCACCACCGATGACAGCCACCGCCAACGAAAGTAAAAAATACAACAACATCAGTGGGTCGATATTTACTTATCGTCGCACTTCGGCGATTCCCCTTACACTAATGTTTTGATTTTTTTTTTTTTTGCACACAGGTGCCTTCGGGCCTGAGACCTAATCACAATAACACATTCCAGAAACAAGAGTCTTTCACACACACTCACACACAAAAGTTGCGAAAAGAAAGCTGGGCAGTTTCATCTGGGAGACAGTGTGTTGACCTCGTCGAACGAACCCGAGCCACCTTTCGGCACGCTATGCATAGGCGGCGAAGTGAGACATAATGATAATACTTCTACACCATAGGACAGCCCGTGGGAAGCGCTTCAAAATCTCGCCGGTGAGGAGATGTGGTAACTTTCGTGAGTAGTACCGTAATCTGATATCTAACGTAATCAACCGTTTCTGCACAACAGTAAAACACCTTCAGCTCGGAATGTTTTATGTCCAAATTCTTTAACTCACTGTATTAGTCCAATATTCAATGTTACAGTGTTGCTTGTTGTTAGCCATTTTCAGTGGTGGTTTGAATAGGAAGAAGTAAACAGGATCATCGCCACAATATCAAACTGTTTCAAATCTTCTCTCTTGGTCTCCCTCTGCCTCTTTTCCCTTCAGCTTTTCGACCGTCACGATGTACTGCAGTTTTCTCTTGACATGACCAAAGAATGTAGATCCCCTCTTTGTGATGTCGATAATTAGCTTTCTTAGTGGGCCAGTTTCTTGCAAGAAATCTTCATTACCCCTTTGTTCTCTATCCAGTCTATTCTCAACATCCGTCTATTAATCCACAACTCCACCGCTTCCACTAATCTAACTGTCCATGATTCATTCCCCTGTAAAGGGATATGATTTATATGGTTCTTAAGAAATCTCTTTCTCCTGTCACTTGACACAGGAAGATTCAGTTTTACCAAAAAATAATTTTAATAAATACCCTCGCGAGGTCTTCAAAAGGATCACTGCCCTATACTGTTACGTCATGCTTACCCGCAGAGATTGCACCAGACTGATGTAGCCATTAGCGCTTCAGTTCTTTAAAGACTGAACAGGGTATCCAAGGTCTGACATGTTGGTTTGCCATTCAGATTGAGATTTTGTAATCTCGGGGTGTTAGACTTTCTTATAGCAACCCAGAAGTCATCTGGTTGTTGGGTATTGCCTTTGAAATGAGAAACAATGACGACGAGATGGAGTTGTCTGCAAAGCTTTTTTTTTTCTGCAGTACTTGCACCTTGTTTTCATGTTAGGGGAATTCAGCGCTATTGTATTAGACACTTTGTGATAAGTATCGGCACCATTTTTAGACTCTTTGTGTTGAGTGCCGTCACAGTCCCCCAACCCCTCCCCCACCCCACGCCCCCACCCCACTCCCCCAGGAAAAAGCCCCTGGTTGTATCATTCACTAATATCCTTCTTGCAGCTACTATCGTGTACAGCCTCGCCAAAATTGCGACACAGCTGAAGGAACATTCGGAGGAGACCGGCAAACAACTGGGGGTACTTACACATGACAATGAAGTCTTGAAGGAAGACTTGGCGGTTCTGAAACAAGACAACCAGGCTCTGAAGACAGTTTCAGACAGCATCTTAATGAAAGTATCCAGGATCGACGGATTACTGAACTCTTCACTTGGCCAAGACCAGGTACATCAAGTGTGTGTGTGTGTGTGTGTGTGTGTGTGTGTGTGTGTGTGTGTGTGCACGTGTTTGCCCTCTGTCTGCGGATGTGTTTATGTTAGTGGCGTACACTCTTTTAACGGCTGAAATCGTCTCTTACACTTAAAATTACACTTTTTTCAATGCATTATTTTACTTTTTTTTTTTTTTTTTTACGGTTCGCTATTTGATACAAATACGCAACAAACACGGTTTACGTCTCGGCCAACATGTAAGGCTTGTTAATAGAATTAACACAGAAAAAATAATTAGTTGTCAGTTACAAATACTATGATGCTTGAAGCGCATGAATAATCTTAACAGCTAAGTGACTAGAAGGAAAACATCGAGTGATACTCTCTCGAGCGTAACTGTTACAGGTCAACTATGAATTTTGTGTAAATCACTTGCACGTGCAAATTGATCACTTCTTGCCACTGGTTTATGTGCGTCTGTACGTGTGTGCATTTTTTATTTTTATTTTTTTACTTTCTAGTTCAGTTTTACTTAGTCATGCCTATTTCGGAATGCACTATGGTAAAAGTAAGCAAGAGACCATTTAAAAACCACTAACACATTATGCTTATGGTGCTAGGGTTTCCCATTGGCGAGAGTAAAATCATTTTTTTTTTTACATCTCTTTATTTACCGCCATCAGTTACAGTCAAGGTTGACCTAGGAGCTCACGTCGCATTTTCGTTTCTTCTTCTTCTTCGTCGCGCTCATCGGTTGTAAATACCGGCTGAAATTTTTTTTAGTTGTTCGACCCCTTCCGGACTTTAGTCTTGTTACAGAACTTGAGTATTGCGTGCATATCTGTTTTACATATATTTCCTATTTGTATTAGCTAATGCGCCAGATCTCTCAAAATACGTTACTATATAAAAGTCATATCCCTTAGCACTGACCCCCAAACACCCTCACGGAATCGACATGAACTACTGATCCATTTTTATTTTGATTCTTCAACGTAAATACAGTATTGTAAAGATCCCTTATTACGCCTTATGTGCATCGGGTATATGGGCAGAGCATCCTTTATTTTTACAGGCCAATGGGCACTAGGTGGGTAATGTGGTCAGCATTACACCGGCCGACTTTACTTTCCCAGGACAGCCATCCTGGTACCCATTTTAGGCTGGATCGACCTGCAACGCCCCATGCTACGATAAAAATCCAGGCAGCCAGCAGTGGGTTTCGATCGCGATACGTTTTTATCACGAGTCGGACTCGCAACGCCTAAGCCACGGACGCCGCTTTTCTACAACTTTCCTATCTCATATACCCTCACAACCACGATCACAAGTTCAATGTATTAATAATACCCTTGTTAAGGTCCCGGCACGACACTGTCTTGGTGGAGTAACGCCTGCTACTCCTGAGTGTTTTGCTACATCTGCTTACCAGCAGTGGAGAAATGATAATCGAATCAGACATACTATACTACTTATGTCATTATATTGTATTTCCCCATAATATCAAGAGCTCTCGTGTAATTTCAGCAATTTGGAAGCCTCTGTCACCGGGGTATGCCACACAAAGGTCCCAGGGAGAAGTTTGTCCTGCAAGGGAAGCTCCTGGCGCTGTGTGACACTGAGACTGATGGTGGAGGTTGGGTAATCATACAGGTGATGTGCTTACGATTTCATTTCAAACAGGAAGTCTGTTTTCTTTTTCTTCGTCGATCACAGTTTCTTGTGCGTCTGATCTAACATGATTCACAAAGAGAGTGGTGCGTTTAAGGTCTTCGACTGTTTTTCCCAAATTGATCTTACAGGACAGAGCTATTCCCTTGAACTGATTCAGGGGCAAAATGTTGTCAAATGGGAATCGTTGAGGGCTAGTGGTCTGGGCCCCAGCGTAGAAAGATCATCAATACAATACAATTGACAGGTGATCCGTGGGCCACTTTCTAGGCCTCTGTGGGCCAGGTGTTTCACGCGGGCCCTCAGCTGAATAGACCTGATGTAGGATCTCTCACATGGGTCATATTTCATGCAGTCAGTCACATCTGACAGCGGTTGTTGAATGCTACGGAAAAAATAATGCTGTGTGAACACTTTTGTTGTATGCATTATGTTGCTGTACCTTCCATCTTGTAACTATTGTTTTGTTAAATGACCTATGTTGTACAAATTGTTATACTATGAACTATGTTGTACGAAACAGGTATCTGTATGAACTATTTGGCTGTACGAACCATGTTGTTTTATAAACTACTTTGTTGTAAGCACTGTGTCTTGAATGCAGGTGTATTTAATTCTCCTTATTCGATGGTCGTCTGATGCCTTTTCTCCTTTCCCGCTCTCAGAGACGTGTGCAAGGAAATGTAGACTTCTATAGAGGCTGGGTTGATTACAAGAGAGGGTTTGGAACCCCAGACACCGACTTCTGGATTGGAAATGACAATATTCACGATCTCACCTCACAGGTAACTAACGTTTATTACTTCTTTTTTGACGCTGCACGTGCCTTGTATATGTATATGTATATATATAAAAAATTATTATTATTATAATTTATTGGCTCGCCCTAGATTGTAAACCAAGTCACTAATGCCCCCAAGAAGTCAGGAGTATAAATATCGCTGCTCTGCGGTAAAGTGACACAACTCCAAAACAAAAAATGTTGGTGAGTTACAGACCCAAAAAGCTACAGACCCATTAGCCTTCTTGGTTATGTAGGAAAATTGATGAGAAATTAGTAAATAAAAGACTAATATGGTTCTTGGAGACAAACTCGGTAATCACCACCACGCAGACAGGATACAGACAGTACATAAATACAGAGGACCAGTTGACATATCTGACACAGGAAATTGAGAATGCCTTTCAGGAAAAAAAGAAAGTTCTTGCTGTCTTCTTTGACCTCTCTCGTGCTTTTGATACAGTTTGGAAAGAAGGCCTACAACTAAAACTGCTACAGGCAGGAGTTGTGCACAACATGTACAAGTGGATCAAAGACTTTCTTTTCCAACGCAGAGCCAGATTCAGAATTCATAAACACATCGGCAAACTGGCAAAACTAAGAGAAGGAGTTCCCCAGGGCAGTGCGATAGCACCAACTCTGTTCCTGGTTTACATAAATGATATCACAGCAACATGCCACCAGCACGTTTCTAATACCCTACATGCCGATGACTTTGCAGTTTGGACAGCCTCCGAATACACTACCACGGCCTCATATCTGTTACAGAAAACTGTGGAAAATGAAGAAGCCTGGACCGAAAAGTGGGGTCTAAAGCTAAATAATTCAAAAAGCAAAGCATCACTTTTCTCTCTCTCCCCCAGAAAATAAAAAAATCGAAATTTGGATAAAATACCAGCTCATTCCACAGACTGACACTCCTACCTTTCTGGGCGTTACACTTGATTTGCGACTAACTTGGAAGTCACATGTAGAAGCAATACAGGGGAAAGCATTGAAGAAGCTTGCAGTGATGAAAAAATTAGCGGGTACCACATGGGGCGCCAACTCTAGAATCCTAAAACAAGTATATACTGGAGCAGTCAGGCCAGTCATGGAATTTGCCTCCACTGCATTGGATGCAGCAGCCAAGACAACAATGGGAAAACTGGACAAGGTTCAGAATATTGGATTAAGGATTGTTCTCGGAGCCATGAAAATCACCCACATCAGAGAGATAGAAAGGATAGCAGATACTGAACCACTCGAACTCAGAAGACAATACAAAACTCTTTTACAGTATGAGAAATTAAAAAGACTTCAAAGTCACATACTACATTTTAAATTTCAAGAGAGAACAAACAAAACAAAAAAAGACTGAAGCTTCAGAGCTCCAACCACCTTGCTAGAGAACTGTACAGACTGCACCAAGATCTGCTTGAAAGAGATGTTTGCACTGTAGCCAGAGGACTGAACTCCGACTAACCGGCCGTCTAGCCGGCCGTAGTTTAAAGGAGAACCGATGTATGACAAAGAGTACTTTAATCATCATCATCAGGTGCCTTGCCGACTGGCGTGGGCGATCATGCCTCTCCATAATCTGCGATCTCCTGCAGCATGTATCAGTTCGTGTGCCGACACATCGCCATGCAACAAGACTGTCAAGCATCTTCTCTCGTTGTCTACCTCTATCTCTCCTTCCACATATCTTTCCAGTGGTCACAACATGTTCTATTTTCCCTCTTCTCATAACATGGCCGAAAAATGATGACTGTCTCCTTCTGATGTCTGTGATAAGTTGTCTTTGGGCTCCCGCCTCTTTCAAAACCTCTTGGTTGCCCTTTTTGGCTGTCCAAGGTATTCTAAGCATTCTTCTGTAAAACCACATCTCTGAGGCCTCCAGGAATTGTTTGGCCTGCCTACCTATTGTCCAGGATTCACAGCCATATGTTAAAACTGGATGTATGTAGCAATCAAGAATTCTTTTTCTAACTCTCAATGACAAGGATATATTGCACAAGATGTTTTTCATTTTATAAAATTCAGTTTTTGCCTGCCCTATTCTGTTTCTTATCTCAGTTATGCATCTTCCATCTGATGTTATCTATGTGCCCAGATACTTAAATTTCTGTACTTGTCCTAAAATAACACCAACTTTTATTACACACTTAGGAATAATTCGTTTCTTTGATACCACCATTACTTCTGTCTTCCCATTATTCAAACTGAGGCCCATTCTTCCACTTTCTAACACCACAATGTCTATCATTTTCTGTGGTTCTTTCTGACTTGTTGCTATCAAGACTGTGTCATCAGCATAACGTAAATATATTTATATTGTGCCCACCAACCACAATTCCGGGAATACCAATTAAAGCTCTCATTATATATTCACTGTATATTGAAAACAAATCAGGTGACAGTACACATCCTTGTCGTACGCCCCTCTTTATGCTTTGAAATGTACCTAAACAGTTGTTAATTCTTATAGCTGCTGTTTGCTGCCAATACATATTCTTTATTATTCTTAGATCTTTCCCATCAATGTTTAATTTTTCTAACAGTTTGATTACTTCTTCATGCTTCACACAGTCAAACGCTTTTCTATAGTCTATGAAGCATATGTACAAATCAGTCTTTACTTCTATAGCTCTTTCTGACAATGTCCTTAGGATGTATATGGCATTGTTTGTACCTTTTCATTCTACAAATCAACATTGTTCATCGCTGATTTCTGGTTTAATTTTGTTTCTTATTCGTCTCATAATTATTCTCAGTAACATCTTAGTCATGTGACTCATAAGACTTATTGTGCGATGGTCTTCACATTTTATAGTGCCTGGTTTCTTAGGCAGAGCTATAAATATGGATTTTTAAAGGTCATTTGGAATATACCCAATATTATAAATATCATTTAAAAGTTTAGTTATTATTTCAATTCCAAAATCTCACAGTGCTTCGATTTCTTCCAGTGAGATGTTGTCTGGCCCGGGTGCTTTTCCTTTATTCATATGATGTATTGCATCCTCAACTTCTGCAGTCATTATTGGTGGACCATCATTGTTGGTCTGCAGTTCTACATCTGGTCTATTATCATCATACAATTCCCCTATATACTCTGTCCATCTGTTAATTATATTACTAGGTCCCATTATTAAGTCACCATCTTTTGATTTCAAACATCCAGTGTTGTTACGTGTCATCTTTCCTGTTAACATGTTTATCTTTTGGTACATGGAATGTGAGTCTTTCCTGTTGTTTTCCCCAATCTCTGTACACATTTGATTCAGCCAGGCTTCTTTAGCTACTTTGCATTTGTTTACTATTTCTTTTTGTATTCTCGAGTATTCTTCTTTATCATTCTTTTTAGACTACTTTAGACTTTAATAGACTACTTAAAAAAGTGCTTTCTTGTGGAGTTTCTTACTTACAGATCAAAATGACTTGATGGTTTATGGACTGGGTGAATTTTGTTAGGAGGCAGCAACTTCATGGTGACCAAACAATCCAATTCCTCCATCATCTTGTTCCAAACACTGGAGTGTGAGCAGGAGTTTTGTCATAGAAAACCATGAAAAAACACTGAACGTTCTAGCAGGAGTCTGTATTAAGCAGGAGTTGCTCTTTCGCCCGAATCCAACCCAATGAAGTAGCTGGTTTCAGGACTGAAGTTCAGGAGCCCGGGTTCTCATTGGAAGCTGTGAAGCTTTTGTGCTGACATATTTGTTCAAAGACCGAATTGTTCTAGAACCATGATTCCACTTTAATAACATTTTTCCCCTAGACTAAGTTGCATAAGGTGCGTTCTTGATATTATCTGCATACATTTTGTCATTTGACTTGAAGACACAGTATTGGCACCTCTGTGTGGTAGTTTCTGTTTTGTTTCTACTTCAACCTTGTTCAAATGTATTGAACAAAATGTATTGACATTGAAGCCGTCTTGGTGTAGCAGCTAGACGCTCGCCTGCGTATCCAAAGGTGGTGGGTTCAGGTCATGACGGAGCTCGACTTTGTTTTCAGAAATGACCTTGACTCCCAGGTCTACCCAGCCTTAAATGGGTATCAGGTACAGTTATGGGAAGTAAAGGCGGCCAGCATAATGTTGACAACATCACCCACCGAGTACCAATCGGTCTATAAAATATAGGTCTAGCCCGCTGTGCCCAATACTCCTGAAGGCGTGGAAGACTTTACTGCACATACTAGCTTTGAACCTAAACAGCCTTGGTCGTCCACTGCACGTATCTCTTTTTCCAGTCGTCTCAAAATTGTCTTGATATTGGATCATCATGGACAAATGCGAGAGAGTGAAGTCCACGAATTCTGCAACTCTTCCTCCATAAATCCAAGTCATTGCGCAAGTCACTGTTATCCAGTTATGAATATATTTTCTGAAGTCTTCACCAACTTAGGGCTAACTTTCAACACTGATAAAACTGCCAACTATTAACCGGCTCCCTGAAAGAATTACTAGGATCCCACTATCACTGTTAATGATCAAAAGCTAAATGTAGTCGATTCGCTAGATTCACTTATCTTGACATTACCCTGACTCAGAGAATCAACATGGACGACGAGATCAACGCTAGAATCTTAAAGGTCAGCAGCAGTTACTTTATATCAGTGTCGGGAATAGAAGTGGTATTCCCGGCTGACCAAGCTAAGGTTTACAGAGCTGTAATTCTTCCAGTACTGCTTTACGCTTGCGAAACGAGGACTGTATAGTAGCGCCATGCTAAAAAGATCAATCGATTTCATATAACTTGTCTCAGAAAGCTGCTCAAAAATCAAACAGCAGGATGGGACCCCAGATTCTGTGGTTCTTGATAGGGCAAACCTGCCGAGCACCCACACAATGCTGAAGATTTATCAGCTGCGTTGAGCTGGTCACCTAGCTCCCATGCCAGACTATCGCCTCCCGAAAAAAAAAAAGTATTTTATGGATAGCTTCAGCAAGGAAAGAGGTCCCATTGACAATAGAAAAAGTGCTATAAAGACATTGTCAAAACTGCTCGCAACTCTTTTGGCATCAACACAGCGACGTGACAGGACCGTTCTGGATGGCGTACATCCTTCAAACATGGTGCATCAGCCTGCCAGACAGCGGAGGTTGCACAGGCAGACTAGAAAGAACAGTAACGCTAATCCCACACTTACTGCGGCTTCTACCTGTTGCTCGCACTGCTCAAGAACTATCCAGGCTCAGACTGGACTAATAAGCCACCTTTGTTCTCATAATCATTGATCATTACTAGTTTGGATGAAAAGTGGTCCTCGTCACTAGTGATGGACGAACCACACAGCTATAAACCTAGGTTAGACGAGAATTTGGTAATGAATTGACAGCACTGAAATGTATAGTGTAAATAAACAGTGAGATCTGTGTATTTCAGTGGAAAGGTAGGTAGGTAGTTCTACCCGACCAGGACATGACACAAGCGAAAAACACCCGGTGACACAAGGTGCCACCATGCGGATGAGGATCAACCGTCGAGAGGTCCCGGAAACCCCTTTCATGCGTTATTGCCAAATCTATGGCTAGGCATCGCTATATTCAGGGCCCCTTGCAAAAAAGTGGCATACCACATGGGGCGACAACGAGCTATGTTGTAGAAAGTACATAAATGTGTTTTTAATATGTTGAGGTAGCTAATGATGCAAAGAGGGAGATATATTTTTAAAAATCGACAATACTTGAAACTGAACCCTACGGGACACAACCCATTGTTTGTGCACGTTCTTTAATCTTCTGCAAAATTTAATATTTTTTTCAGGATATGGTTAGCAAAATATCTTACCTTAACCTTCCTAACCTCAATCAATACTAAATATTAAAATTTTGTAAACTTAATCAATGGATTGCGTCCCCTAGGACCGGCATTTAAAATGTGTTTGTATTTGAAACTAGGGTCATCGTTTCAAGTATTGCTGAAGTATCTGAAACTGCAATGTACTCTCTCTGTTACACATAATTCCTTACGTCCTTCTCAGGACGTAATTTTTTGTTATTTGAAGCCCCACTCTGGCTTTTGCCAGGGGCCGCAATATAGGCAGGTCATCATTATGGCCAAATGTCTGAACGCGGTTTCTGGGACCTCTCCACGGTGATCCTCATCCGCATGGTGACACTTTGTGTCATCGGGTGTTTATCGCTTGTGTGATGTCCTGGTGGGGTAAAAAGCCAAGCCAAGCCTACTGTCTCTGTCCGCATTATTTAAGCTTCGCTTTCAATAAATTTTAGTCTGGTAGGATTTGATGCACGAACCAGTGAAACGAATTTTTCTTGATTTACCACGATCTGTGACATTTTCAGGGCTACAACGAACTCCGGGTCGACTTAGTCCACGACGAAACCAAGTTTTTCGCTCATTACACAAACTTTATTCAGGCCGACGAATCGTCTGCATACGCCATCACAATTAGTGGATATTCTGGGAACGTCTACGACAGCTTAAGCTTTCATAACGGCAACAAATTCAGCACTTTTGACCGGGATAATGATCGATGGGCCGATAACTGCGCCAGGCTGTATCACGGCGCTTGGTGGTACGGTGATTGTTACCATTCCAATTTGAACGGAGCTTGGGCAGTCGCAGATAAGACAGGTATTAGTTGGTTTTTTAACCAGACTAGCTATTGGAACAATGTGTCGTTTACAGAGATGAAGATCAGATATATTTAGCGGTCATCCTCCCTAAAATGTTACAATATGTTTATGTCATTGACCATCAAGTGTACTGTGCTTTCTCAATCTCTTTTCGGTCTATAGTTTTTCAACAAGCATATAGATATATATGCATATATATAGTCATTTTTATAGCTGTGTCATGTGAAATAATTTTGTCAGAAGTCAGCTCTTTCTATCCAAGATAATGCTTTGATAATTTTCTAAAAGGTCGCAATCACCTGCTAGTCCATTAGCTGGATTACAAAGGTTGTGTTGAGGGACATTACATGAGTTGTGTTGAGGGACATTACAGGAGTTGTGTTAAGGGACATTACTGTTGCGTTAAGAGACATTACAGTTGCGTTAAGGGACATTACAGGAGTTGTTTTAAGGGGCATTACACTTGTTTTAAAGGACATTATGGAGTTGTGTTAAGGGACATTACGGTTGCGTTAAGGGACATTACAGGAGTTGTTTTAAGGGGCATTACACTTGTTTTAAAGGACATTATGGAGTTGCGTTAAAGGACATTACAGTTGCGTTAAGGGACATTACAGGAGTTGTTTTAAGGGGCATTACACTTGTTTTAAAGGACATTATGGAGTTGTGTTAAGGGACATTACAGTTGTGTTAAGGGGCATTACAGTTGCGTTAAGGGACTTTGCAGGAGTTGTGTTAAGGGACAGGATTTTACCCAGTTTTCCTCTATTATGGTGTGCACTGAGACTGGGCAGTAACATCGTCCTAGATTAAGAAGGAAAGACAGAAGAATTTTGAGCTGGAGTCAGCATCAAGAGGAGCTACTCTTTCATAGCCGTAATCTCAACCGGTAAAGTACGTGGTTTGACTATCGCTTGTATCCTCGTGCAGGTTCCGAGATCCCATTTTGGTGAGGGGGGACAGAGCCACTGTGCCCCTGCCAACAAGAATATCATTAGGGTCGACACAACTTCTGTAATGTCCCTCAGCACAACTCCTGTAATTAGGAGTGTGTCCTTCAAAATCGGATTACATCTGCCTGAGACGAGAGACCGACAGTCTGCACACAAATTAGACTAATATTTAAAAAAAAAAAAAAAGATGTGTTCCAGAAGGGCTTCAGTCGAGAGGTAATGTTCCGCTGTAGACGAGTTGTATCTCGCAGTGTAGATCTCACTTAATGCGTACATTTCCGGTTAGTGCAGCGGTTGTCAAACTGTGGGTCGCCACCCTGTTGGAGGTCGAACGATCCTTTTACAGAAATCACCTAAGACCAAAGAGAAACACATATTTACTTTAGTTATGTAGTAGCAACGATAATAATTCTGTGGCTGGGGGGGTTACTACAACATGAGGGACTATTAAAGGGTCGTGGCATTAGGAAGGTTGAGAACCAGTGAGTTCATGGGAGGTTATTGTTTAGTCAGTTCTCATGTATGCTTTCTATAGTACCGCCGTATTTCATTGATAGTCAAAATCTCGACACCTTTCTGTCTTGTTAATTTTCAAGTTTTTTTCAAGAATGTTGAATGCTGGGCAATAAAAATAATGAAGAAAACGGAGGCACTGGTGTGTTGTGTTATAGTTTTAGAAGAATGTTTTTGGGTAGAGACTGACCCACATGTACACACAAAACAATGTGCTCTTGTAAATATGTTTAGTCAATTCTTCAAGCCAATATTTATTACTGTATGGGTTCGGGGGTTGGGGGGAGGAAGGGCCAGGATGGGGGCAGGGAAGGGGGAGGGCAGTTTTTCCCTAACAAGCATGTCGTGAATCTGCGACTTATTAGGAGTGTGTCCTTTAAAGTGTATCTGCCTATGGCGAGAAACCAACAGTCTGCATACAAGGAAGCCAGATCTGTAAAACAGAACTTTAGCTTTCAGCTGGAGTTTACAGCTGATGAAGGCTTCGAAAAAAGAAACAAATCAATAAGCAGAAAGAGAAAATGAAATTTATGGGGCAAGTTAGCAAAAGATATGGGGAAAACATGTGAAGGAAATACTGGGCAAGAGAGACAACGGAAAACAGAGAGTTAGGGACATGCTTAAACCATTAGCAACATATTATAATAAACAACAAAATTATTTCAAATACTACATGAAAGAGAGGGCGCCTATGTGGTGTAGCGGCTAGACACTAGCCTGGGGATCTGAAGGTAGTGGCTTCAACTCCTGGTCCACATTGACTTTTGAAAAGACATCATGAAATTTATTAATTATGCCAAGTGGAGTTATTGGGAGTGTTTTGTGCAGAGTCTATGACTTTTGTATAGCAAAGTATTTTAAGGTAGACCTCACGGAACGGTGGGTGCTCTGACGAGATTATGTGCTAATACAACAACACATTTGTAGGAACATTATTAACACAATCAAGCATATGTAAGAATGCAAAGAGACAGATTATAAAGAGCATATTCATTCCAATATTAAGCTAGCAGTGCCAATCGTGGACACTATCTAAAGCCCATATACGCAAACTCACAACCTGCGAGACGAGGTGCCTGAGAAAAGCAGCCAACCTAACCATCCGAGATCGAGTGAATAATGATACTATCAGACAGACTGTGGGAACGAAATCTTGTACTTGTTTTATCGAGAAACAGCAGATCAGGTGGTTTGGCCATCTCGTTAGAAATGCAGCAAGATCAAATACCAACCATAAGGACTACATCTTAGAAGATCAGCTACAAGAGCAAGAGGACGGCTGTGGATCAACAATATTAAAGGCACTCTACGCCTTCACGGCATGACAATAGCCAATGGCAGCCAACGTGCACTGGATGGCAAATTATTCCTGCCCACGACGCCTAATGGCGGAAGTGGTTTATTATGATGATGATGATGATGACGACGACAACAGAAACAAACAAGACATAACTGAATCGACATCACAGCACTATGGACATTCCCATAAGAACTCTGCCACTGATGTGTGCGGTTAGGGACTACCAGTCTGCTCACCAAGTATCTAGGGCATTCTAGGGGATCTTATATAAATGTCAGTCCTCAACACATATGTACCAGGTTCTTTCGGCTGAAGAACCATGGCCGCCCACTCTCATGGGCACGCCATATGCTGATGGTGGTTATAACTGGGGTAATGTCAAATCGGCCACCATGGCAGGCATGGGAGGCTAAGATCCAGGGAACCAGACCTCCAGGACGACCCAGGGTCCGCTGGGAAGACAACATCCGATAGTCCCTGACTGACAGAGCTAAACGAAGCCTGGAAGAAAACTGCCGATAGAGACATCTGGCGATCTCTCTGGCAAACCTCTACACCCCAAGGTGGAAGAGGAGTGACTAAGTAAAGTAAAGTAAAGTAAAGGAAGGTCAAAACATACAAGAGCACCACTATTAGCCAGACACAGTAATACCTTAACATGTCCTATCGTAACCACCAACATAGTCTACGAGTACTGTAAAATAATACACTACGCCAAGTATGGTACTGTAGTGCGAATAGTCTCTTTATTATGGAAGAACACATTACGACGAAGATGAGTTGGTGATCAATGACTGACTGTCAAGTCTACTACTCCCGCCAAATACACTCACATCAGAAGTCTCCCCAGACATGGACAATACGCCCCTGCGAATTATGTACGATCTGAATGCCACGGGCGACTTAAAAACGATCGCACAGATACAACTACGTGATGTGCAGTGACAATCCTCAGACGGTTCTCCCTCTTAAAGAACCCGCCACCTAAGGACCCAATGTAGATACACCACTTGGTAAAAAGAATCCACACCTCCCGTCTGCTACCTAGTCACTCATTGAAGTATCACTCATTAAAGTATCACTGATCAACATCCCCTTAACCAGCCTTCAATACCTCCCTATCACTACTTCACATTCATCAACGCATTCAAAGCTCCCCTGCCTTTCTGTGCACTTAAGGACAACTCGCTAACCAGCGGTCACATAGTCGAACTCTATAGACCCTACACACATGACAGACACAAGTCCATTCTAGAAAATCATTGACAAAATAAGGAAGTCCAACTCATGATCACCACAGTCCTCAGATAGTTCATACGAGTTCCACTGAAAAAAAAAACATTGCTAAAACTGTCCCATGATACAGTCCATAGGTCATCAACAAATCGCGCACACATCGACACACTAAGACGAAAGCTGATTGACTCAAGCTACCACAAGGTTTTTCCCACCTGCTGTCAACTCCGAATAGATCTCACCAAACTTAACCAATAATCAAATGAACAGGCTGGACAGAACTTAGTGCTGAGCATGTACCTTGCTTTCATTCACCCTTCTGTTGTAACCGCTGAAAATACGCAGTCATTAAAACGTCTTACTAAAGCAGGTGACTTGTCATCCAAGTCGTAGTGTGTGGCACCATGACACGGAGTGTCCCTCGGTTACTATACACGAGAGTGCCTCTTTATGCCTTGACCTAATTATAGATTTCCATCTATTACTATATAAATGTCATAGAACCTTGTTGGAGGTTAAAACCTCTCGTTGTTTCATCATTGATTACCCCCCCCCCCCCCCCCACCCCCCCCCCCCCCTTTTTCCTTCCCTTGTAAAAAAAATACAGCCCTGCCCTGTTCGCCATCAATTTGTAAGTTTTACTTGTGTATATTTGACCTTTTAACAGTGAATGAATGTCTCCTCGTTGGGACACACAAGAAAGAACAAAGGACTAAAAGAAATTAAACCAGCCCTTCGCTGGAGAAAAGAAAGAAGCTGCAAAGAAAGAAAGAATGAATAAACAAATCAACAAAAGGCCCCTAACAAAAGAAAGATGAGAATCTAGCTATTTATGGGGTTACAGGTTTCAAGTTCATATTTCACCAAATAAAAAAAAAAGTCTTTAACCATATATTTTAACCCCCGCCACCGACCATCATACTGCACTTGAACTAGCTTTACTGAAGTGGAAGCTTTGGGTTATAATTGTGATTAGGTTATGTACGCTGTACCGCGAACGAAACCCATTGCTGGATGCGTGGATTTTTATCATGGTATGGGGTGTCGAAGGTCGACCCAGCTTAAAATGGGTA